CTGAAAAGCTTACATCAGTGTGAATTTACTATTATCAAATGAATTTTGATAAAAATATAATTAATGGTTTATTTGAAACTTAGATAAACACATATTTTAAAAAGTGAGGTCAAGGTCAAAAGAAAATTCAAGGTCAAAATAAGTTAATGCAATATTAGCTCTCATCAGTATGTATTAGCATATGAAGTTTGATTAATATATCTTGAACTGTTTATTCAAAACTGATCTAGTCTATAACTAATCATTTGTGTAATATAATATTATTTCTCTGTTTTAGGTATCAGTCATCCTTATATAGTTAATTAAAGACTCATTGGATGATGGTTATCATTTATGACTGATACCTCGAATTCGGCAGCTTAGTTGAAATCTCCCTTGCAAAATGATAAAAGTAGAATAAATTGTTTTTATCATGGATAATTACTCATTAAGTCATTTCTCAAAAAACACATGCATCTACTGTAAAGTGAAAGTAGCGTCATTGGATGATGGTTATCATTTAGTCTAAGACAGTGAGGTCAAGATCACAGGAAATGTCAAGGTAAAAAAGAGTGAAGCATTGTAAAGCTTTAATTGCTAACATCAGTATGTATCATCATGTGAAGTTTCATTACACAACTTGAATCATTATGGTTTCTCTAAAATAAAGCTAAACACTAATTTTAAGAAAAGTTAAGTAAAGGTCAAAGGAAAGTAAAGGTAAACAAGATGTGTTTGTGAAACACTATGCGCCCGGCGGAAACAAAGTTCAGAAAATCTATTTTTAGCATATTGGTCACAGTCAAGGTCACAAGGTCACTGGCCGTGGTGTCATTTGAAAGAACTTAATCAGTGGAGTATGCATCCCAAATATGAAGTCCCTATCTACTATGGTTTAAAAGTTATGGCCAAAAGTGTAAAAAGCTATTTTTAGCATATAGGTCACAGTCAAGGTCATTGACCATGGTGTCATTTGAAAGAATTTAATCAGTGGAGTATGCATCCTAAATATGAAGTTCCTATCTCCTATGGTAAAAAAGTTATGGCAAAAAGTGTAAAAAGCTATTTTTAGCATCTAGGTCACAGTCAAGGTCACAAGGTCATTGACCATGGTGTCATCTGAAAGAACTTAATCAGTGGAGTATGCATCCCAAATATGAGGTTCCTATCTCCTATGGTTCAAAAGTTATGGCAAAAAGTGTAAAAAGCTTTTTTTAGCATATAAGTCACAGTCAAGGTCATAAGATCATTGACCTTGTTGTCAACTGAAAGGGCTTTATTAGAGGAGTATGCATACCAAATATCAAGTCCCTATCTCCTATGGTTAAAAAGTTATGACAAACAGTGGAAAAAGCTATTTTTAGCATATAGGTCACAGTCAAGGTCACAAGATCATCGACCTTGTTGTCAACTGAATGGGCTTTATTAGAGGAGTATGCATACCAAATATCAAGTCCCTATCTCCTATGGTTAAAAAGTTATGACAAACAGTGGAAAAAGCTATTTTTAGCATATAGGTCACAGTCAAGGTCACAAGGTCATTGACCTTGATGTCATTTGAAAGGACTTTAATAGTGGAGTATGCATACCAAATATGAAGTCTCTATCTCTTCTTATTGTTCAAAAGTTATGGCCAAAGTTAAAGTTGACAACAGACAAACAGACAAACAGATAAACAGACAAACAGACAGGACAAAAACAATATATGCCCGGGATCTATCACTCCGGGCGCATAAAAAATATTGCCACAGTTGGATAGTTTACATCAGTATATGCATCGGCATATGAACTTTGATAAAATATCTAGAAAGTAATTTCTTTGAGCTCGATGGAAATTAGACATATGGAAGGGTGGAGGATGGACATGACAAAAACTAATACATGTATTCCTAATCATGGCGTAGCATAAAAAAACTTGAATATACATTATATGAGGATGTTTCCATATCAAGATTATACATGCAAATTCAAAGAATTGTGGTCCTTTGCTTTCTGTGTTTAAGTGAATGGGATGCCATAATTTATGGCAGATTGTGTATCAAATATGCATCCCTATCATATGTCACTTTATGAAAATTAGGTCAAAGGGGGGAAATCATCGCATGCTCGAAATATTTTGGTGCAGGTAAAGTACATGTCAAATATGAAAGACCCATCTCTTTTCAATCAAAAGTTATATATATATAAATATATAATATAATATTTTTGAAAAGTAGGTTAAACTTCTACGTCAAGATCAGAAAGTCAAAAGTCATGATATATTTAGAAAAGTCTTTTCACATGTAATATACATGTATAATTTAAATGCCATATCTTTTCTCTTTCAAAATGATTAATTTAAAATGTTATTTTTTGGAAAGTAGGTAAAATTTTGAGGTCAAGGTCTCACTTGGGTTAAAAAATCATAGTACATTTGGAAAGTTTTGTGGTAATGTACATGTGAAATATAAAAGCCTTATCTCATATTATTCAAAAGTTATGATCAAGGTTAAATTTACTGTGACAGATGCACATACTGTCAAAGATGGCCAGACTGACAGACAAATAAGATTTATTATTACCCAACTTACTATCTAAATTATAATTAGGCATTTTGAACTGTTTCACGGTTTACTTTATGTTTTTGCGTGATCATGAAACAGTGAACTGTTGACCAGTCCACAGAATGAACTGTTGACTGGTTAAAGCGTCATTGTGATATTCAAGCGTTTTGATGATCACGACATCACTATTTACCTGCTCTATAATGAATTAAATTTAAACAAAACACACAAACAATAAATTTATTAAGTATTACTTTAAAATAAAAATATTAATTTAGTCTTTATATTATGTATTCAGCTAATTAATAGACAAGTACATGTATGTGAATAAACAATTGTGAAAACTTTTTATTGATTGTTTGTGTGTTTTTATTCCAATTTAATTAATTATATAGTAGGTTAGGTAATAAAACACTTATTCAATGACTACTCGGTGAAACAGTCAAACTGTTGTCCCTCAGTAGTACGTGGGGGAGACCTGGGAAACTGTTGCCCTTGGCCGTCGGCCTTGGGCAACAGTTTCCCAGGTCTCCCCACCTACCTCGGGACAACAGTTTGACTGTTTACCTCGTAGTCATTAAATAAGTGTATAATGTTCCCTCCCTTTCCCCCAAAACGGGGGACAATAATGCCCTTGCTGTTCTTGAGAAGATTTATGATGGAAAAAATCCCCTGCATATTTCTTAACGCAAATCAATATTGTGTTTTTATGTCATTTAATTGTTTGTTTGTTGTTAAACATCCCTCTCAGGAATTTTTCACTCAAATGGAGACACCCCCACTTGAAAAATAATGAGGACAAGTCGGATTTGAGGTCAACATTCATTTTAGGAGTTTTCAACCATTAAGACGTAAAGAGACAGGAACTCGATCCTTCCCCTCACCCCATCCCAGACCCCTGTTTATATTCATGACATGTATGCAAACTACTGCTTGTTTTACATTTTTAAAAAAATATGTTAATAGCCTATATACAAATACTTTAATGTGGTCCATCTCTTTGAATGATTTTCATTCCTAATTCTAGGAGGATAGGTTGATGAATGAAATGTCAAGCAATCTTATCATTGATGCACTTTTATTTCATTTAATGCAGTCATATTGTGAACATTTCCAGTTAGAATCATTAGGAGAGTGGGGATGACCTCCAGGGGGTTCAAAACCTTTATACCATTAAATTTACATAACATAATAACACAAAAAGCGCAAAATTATGTATTGTCAAATGGAAAAAGTTTCCTACTATTTAGGAGTCACATGATCATTTGCCATTACTGTTTACAGGGACTGAAAGTGTATCTTGAGACCCCCCCCCCCCCCCCCCCCCCCCCCCCCGAATTTGCAGGACTATAATATAAAAAAGACTTTGGATGCCCTCCACCCTAGAACACAGACACCACCATAACTTCTCCTTTTATTTGCTTCTCAGAAAATTCTGGTCTGGAAGTCCCCCCTCCCTCTCAGAAAAAAATTCTGTATTTTGTAACTGAATGTAACGTCGATAACGGTGGATAACTCTTTAGAATGTGAAATTCGTCTTATTGCAGCATCGGATGACCTTTGATCCTTTAAACTTTAACCTAACCAGTTGCATTTCATACTATTTTACCCAAATCTATACCAAAACGTGTACTTACCGACTGCCATAGCTCCAACTTCATGAAATATAATCCAATTAAACACAAAATAATTCCAACTGACATACATGCAATGATGTGTACACAACACTAGGCCTAGTACTGCACGTGCAGTGCTATCTAAAAATGATAATGGTAAAACTAGTACTTAAGTTAGGAACGTGACGCAAACCCAATGTGATGCAGGTCTTCAGATACATTTACAGTATAAGAACAAATTTAAAATTATTATTTACAAAAGATGTTTTATCTTAACTTTGCCATCTAGGCCTATTTCCAAAAACAGGAAAATAGGGTGTGTTTGCGCGTGTGTGTGTTGATGGGAGAAGGGTGGGGGTTGACTAAATTGATTGGGTATAAATGGTATATGGCAGCTTTCAAGGTGTTTCTGCCTAATCAAGTATAAAAAAAGTTTGTACATTTTAGAAAAAATCATCAAAAACGCTTTAAACTAATTTGAATAATATTTGTTGTTGATCTATATGAGAAAATAGATTTAAAAAGTTCCAATTATGGGCCAAAAATTTAAACCCCCCCCCCCCTTGTTTCAAACCTAATTTACATCATTAATTGAATTCTGTTGTTTAATTTCAGACTGGTAATAAATTATGAATATGAAATACATGTACCTATAAGATCGAAGCCCATGGTGACGGGTCACATGTTCACTTGAGAATATTATGCTCAATTTGATGAATACATGGAGGCCCTATTATGTAAATTATTAAATTATATTGACTTTTTCTTTGGTAAAGCCTAATTTTAGAGGAGTGTGCATTTAGAGGCAAACACCTTAGTGCGGGTATTACTGTCTCATGACAGCATCTAGTTCATCCTTAGATCTCGCTTAAAACACCCTTATGAAGCAGGTCAAGGTCTTTTGAGAAAACAACTTCAGAATCTTGTAGAATCAATCAAGAGAGGTACTGTTACTCTGAAAATATGAAAAAGACAAAATCAATGAAGAAGAGAATTTAATAGCCCCATGAAATATACCTGTAAAACCTGGGATAATAATTGTTCATTATTTAGTATGGTATATTTAAAAAAAAAAATCAAAAGCAGTAAAAAGAAAGATCAACAATCCCCATGAAACAAGGACACCGCAAGGCGGAGTATCCCCTTGCAAAGAACATATAAGATTATCACTCTATAAATCAAGGTAATACATGTACAATTGTATTTGATATTGATCCTGATGCAAATTTTGATGTAAATAACACGTTTACAGTCATGTGAAGCAAAATAATACATTTTAAAAAAAATATTGTGATATAAATGAGTAAAAATTGCCACTTACTTAATAGATTTATGGTGGTCAGGATAAATTCACCCATAAAAATTTATGCATTAATTCTTCATTTCCTCTGCTTGCAATCTGTGTCTGTTGTTGAGAAGAGTGATTTCTGACATACCTGGAGATTACATGAACAAGTGTTCATCTTTACATGATGTAAAAATTTAACATCCTTATTATACATTCTTGGATATACAAAAAAGTAAATAATACATCTTAATACTATGATCAAGTCTTTAAAATGTTGAGAAACTCTCAGGCCCCTTTTGTGGGAAGGAATTTCAGTTTTGGGGACAAATCTCAGTTGAGCAAATAAAAAAAGGAAAAGAAAAACATATGAGTTTAATATTTATTTAAGGGAAACATTAAAGCAAAGGTAGTTTCTAATGTTCGAATAGCACATAAAAGCATTATATTGATGGGTGAAAAGGGGGGGGGGGTCCACAACATAGGTAACGGGATGTTTCGCGCCGATGCATGGTTCGCACCGCGATGTTTCACGTCCATTCTGTTTCGCGCTGAGATGGTTCGCCTCACGATGTTTCGCTCTAAGAACATGCTATTTATTTCGTTCGTTTCTAAAAAAAAAAGAAAAATTATAATATTTGTAAATATTGATGTAAGTATCGAGATTTTGTAGGATATTAATTATTTTTTTTTAAATTGTAGAAACCGGTCGCGGTGGCCTAGTGGTAGAGCGTTCGCTTCGTGATCGGGAGGCCCGGGTTCGATTCTCGATCGCGGCGCCACGTCATACCTAAGACGTAAACATAGGTAGTGACTGTTCCTTCGCCAAGCGCTCGGCACTAGAAGTGAAAGTCACGGGTCTTTCGGATATGACCTTAAAAGCGTAGGTCCCGTGTCACGGTAGGCGTTGGCACAATAAAGAACCCTCACTGCTCAATGGCCCTGAGTGCCGAGTATAGGTCTAAATTTGAAGCCCTTCACCGGCATCGGTGACGTCTCCATATGAGTGAAAAATTTTAAGAGGGACATTAAACAATATACAATCAATCAATCAATCAATAAATTGTAGAAGTTTATTTGAAGTACATGTATGTAGTCTAATTGTATATTATTCTTACACTGATAATTAGGTTTATAGTAGTTACTTTATCACACCGCCATCTAATTAATTCTGTAATTATTGCTAGCTTGGGGAACCTTTTGATCTCCAGCAAATTACATTTAAATTGTTGAACACACACGCTGAGGAAACGGGCACCATATTAACATTTACGATCCGTTACACATGCCCACGCATATTATTAAGTCATGATTTTGAGCATAAAACACATATTTACATCTAAGATTTAATACATGACCTTAAATTATTACAAGATAAATGAAATATTTAATAAAAGAGGGGAGATGTTTCGCACCGAAATCGGCGCGAATCATCCTGGCGCGAACCATCTCAGTGCGAAACAGAATCGGCGCGAAACATCCCGGATTCCACAACATATACAGTGTACCCATTTACTGTTGAAAATGTACACTAAAAGTTGCCCCCCCCCCCATCCCGGCCCCACCTACACAAAATACTAGTAGTATTTTTCTACAGATTGTTCTGACAATTTCCTTCCCTTTTTATCATGTTTATTTGCTTGTCTTCAAGTTTTTTTTCCCAGATAACTTTTCCTACATTTACATACCCTCCCCCTTTTAAAACGAAACGTGCCTAGATGCTTGCTAATTTTTCCTCCAAGCTCACCGGTTCCTAAGGGCCTGAGTCTACAATGTTTATGAAGATAAAAGGAGCAACTTTTCAACAAGAGAACATTTTTATTCAGAATTAATAATGTTGTACAGACAACGACAAGATGTAAACATTATGATGCATGGTCTCATGTTATACGTGTTATCTTTTTAATTTCTCTTTATAGCTGCAAAAATACATCATAGATATCCACCTAATGTAAATTATTATTGATGTGCAGGCTATAAATAGTAAAATATACAATATATTAGCAATATTTACCCCAAAGTCTTCGATGAAAACACTGCAGCTAATACGACCGGAAGTCTTTCTATGCCTCCCGGTGAGGGCGCTGCGAAAACATGAAGATAATTTGGCGCGAAAATGAGTTAGCGGTCCCTCTCTTATACGTCTCTGAACAAACACATGTAAGTAAAGTGTATGACAAACACATGTAAGTAAAGTGTATGACAAACACATGTAAGTAAAGTGTAAGACAAACACATGTAAGTAAAGTGTAAGACAAACACATGTAAGTAAAGTGTACAATAAACACATGTAAGTAAAGTGTACGACAAACACATGTAAGTAAGTGTTCAACAAACACATGTAAGTAAAGTGTACAACAAACACATGTACCGCGTAAGTAAAGTGTATGACAAACACATGTAAGTAAAGTGTAAGACAAACACATGTAAGTAAAGTGTATAATAAACACATGTAAGTAAAGTGTACAACAAACACATAATTATAAGTTAAATGTACATTGAAGTTGTATGAAGAGTATTTATTCACAATATAAGATATTATGTTCCGTAATCAAGCACAACAGGGTTTGAAAATAACGCGGGTCCTCATGAACTTGATGAAATATCCCATGAAATATTTTTTCCGGCATGGTAGTATAGCCACAAAATCTTTGAAATGGATAGGTATGTGCACAACATATTATAAACAGTAAAGAGTGTCCGACAAATACTTGAAAATAGTATGACAACATATTTAAGGAATAACTGTCTTATTTTTCGAATTCATGAAGTGATCAATGGATTGGCTTGTGTGATAATTTGCATAAACGCCGAAGGCGTTTATGCATAAAATTATCACACAAGCCAATCCATTGATCATCTTCATGAATTCGAAAAATAAGACAGTTATTCCTTATATTTACATGCTTTGATTCCGCCAATCCACGGGCTCTAAGCCTGCTTCTCTCTAGGTGTTGTCCCGCCCTGCACGTGGTTTATTTTGGAACTGCGCCAAAACATTCATGAGGAAATAAATTACATTTACATTTGGTAATTTTATCTCGGACAAAGACATTGGAAATGTAAATATTTATCCCTACATTATCTTTTTATGGACTACTATATCCATATTTTGTATCTTTAGGTATGACACTGTAAAGACCAAAATCATGGAGGGCCTTCAGGAACAGGTAATTTGTTTGTCTGTATATTTCATGCAAATGACTTTCATTTAAACATTTCCAACATTTTTATAATATGTAGATAATATTGTAAAAAGGAAACATATTTTTGCTCATTTTGTTGCACATTCTTCCATGCTGCAATATTTGAAAAGATAAATGAGTTTTGAAATGCTGAGTCACTGATCGTGGTCAAACTTTTTTCGTATAGATCCCCGACTTATTGGACTGTGCCATGACCTACACTTTGTTTGAGTGGGTCAAGGAGAATTATGATGACCTTGTTGCTGAGCAGCCAGAAACACAACCAATCAATCAGGTTTGTTGTTCAGTGATTTATTGTTACAAACTCATGGACATTAAATGTATTGTCTTTCATTTGAAAGGGTTTTTACAGATTGAATATGAATCAAATCAGTTACAAAACAAGTAAAATTTAAATAAGAGCTTAAATGTAATATGTGTATATCAAAATATAGCAAAAAGGCAAAATCAATGTTAAATTATTGATTTTCTAAAACTAAATTCCAACGTACGATAATATTGCATAAAATCATAAGAATATATTTAGAATTTACATATTTAGCAAAAAAATGTATACAACAATGGTCAAAGAGTTTAATTTTATATTTAAATATGTAAAAACTCTCAACTCTAAATTTACATAGAAGTTTAAATTCCACATTTATTTACATAAATTAACTTTGTCTTTAGGTCAGTGAAAACAAGATTTCTGTTGTGGAGGTGGCCAAGAAGAAAGAAAAAAAAGAACAGTTGACCAAGAATCAGAAACGTAAAATGTTTGACCGACTGGACGCCTCTGGAGAGAGGCCACGGGGGTGGGACTGGGTGGACGTTATACGCCATTTGTCTCAAACCGGGTCACAAAGCAACTAGTGGGGTTAATGGGGGGATGTGAAACACAGAAATTCTACAGTCATTAGTTATTGAGGCTGGGAAGACAGAAATCAGGCGCATAGCTATTGATGTTTCTGATAAAATTTGAAATATGAATGAAAATGAGACTTCTTACAAATAAACTACAGCTTATTATAATACATTACAATGGACATGTTTTTCTAACTGTTTCATTTAATACTCGAATCTCTTTTGATAAAGAGTATTTTTCCTTAAGTACTGTAACTAAAAAAATTTAATTTGAATGGGTTAAGCAGTGCATTTTCCTGTAGCCTATTATAATTATGTAAATATTGTAAATGTAATATACGAATGTATGAATAAATATTTATTTTGAACCATACCTATTTGTGAAACACTGATGCTGCCAAGTGGCAGCTCATGGATAAGGTTAATGTTTTTAGATATAGTTCAAACTCCAACATCAAGGTCAAGAGTTAAAAAATGTTGATACCCATATTAGACAGGTCACAAGGAATACATGTGAGATATAACAAGATCCCTAGTACAAACATTCCAGAAAATATGTGGTGAATTTTATTAGCTTATCATTAGTGAATTGCCAAGTTGTTTTGCTCAAAACAGAATGATTGAACACACAAGTACTCCAAAGTTGATATTAGAAAGTTGGTTGAGTTTCTGAAAGACAATATCTAATATATGGTTTTGAAGATGAAGTCTTCCGACACTCTGTTGGACTTCCTATGGGTAATAATTGCACTTAACCGTCCTATTTTCATTCAAATGAAGCAGAAATTATGAAAAAAAATCTGCACAAAAAGACGGTCTCTCACTGTGACCCTCAAATCTGAAACAGAATTGATTTTGTCATTTAGTATCGCCCAGAAAACGTTGGACATGTGTTGTATTTAATTTCTTGAACACTAAAAAGTACTACAAGTAATTTTTTGATCATGATCATTTAAGTAGGTTGAAACTGTTGATCTCTTGGAACCATTATAATAAAACATTTTTACTTTGCTTTGTGTTGTCTTACAGATTTTTGTAAGACGCATCAAGGGCACTCAGCTGACAGCTGATATTGTACAATTTATAGCCTGTAAGTGAGAAGTGGATAAGGCTAATGACCGGTTTGATTATTGAGAGAGAATGGCATACTATTGAGTGGGTGATGTGACGCCTCGACGATATGACATAATATAACCATATGCTAGCTAGATACAACATTTCAAAATATTGTTGATGTTTGGACAGTTATTATACATGTACCACAGATCTAGAATATAACTAGTATATAACTTTCTTTGTTTTAAAAATTGTTTGTAAGAAAAGTATTCTCTTGCATCGTGTATTTTAATTGGTCATTCTGAAAATATGGTAGAATGAGAAGAAATATTCAGATTATAAATTCTATCGGATGGGCTTCTACAAATGTCCAGCTTTACCGGTATTTTACTAATTCAGTAATCTGTGACAGGTTTCCTGTATTCTCATTTCTGTAGTTGTTTGTATTTTATGGAAGGGTTCATGTCTGAGAGATTGTTGGTATGAGTATAGAGCAGCCTGGAGGTTCCCTGTCACCTGTTGACAGATCCCCAGAATCTGCCACGATATGTCTCTGTATAATAAAGGTATAAGTTGTCCCTGATCATGGTGAACTAGGGTCTGTAGATCATCTAGAGCTGTTTGTATTCTCGATGTGTCTACATGTCTATAACACAAGATTTCTAACATGTATAATAGTACAAATAGTGGGATACGCAATGAAGGTCGGCTGTTCTGTAGAGCAGACTGTTGTTCTGGTACCAATTCATTGATATAATGGATGTCATTGTCAAGCTGGATATCTCTGTCTACAGCCTTTTTTATCTTTGTAGACCAGGACTGTCCCCCTACAGCCTCAGTGTACATCTTGGTATCTACATTACTCAAATACATCACATATGGCTGTGCTAACTTGACCTTGATCATCTCTATAATAGATAAAGCTTCCATGTATCCAAGTGTCTTGTAATAATACATGGCTATGTACAGCATGTCTGTAATACAACCAAACTTGGCTGCTAATTTCACCATATGACAGGAAATTTTGTCAGCTCTATACCACAGTTTGTTTTCATTTGTGTAAGTTGCTATGTGTAATATAAAAGCTGTTTTCTGAATGACAATAGCTGTAAGTTTTTGTAGCATCACGACTTGATACTGAGTCAGGAGGGGTAAATCTATCATCTGTTCTATTGTATGTAGACATCTCATAAAGGTTTCTAGGTTTGATGTGAAGAATGCGTCACTTATATTCTCCCTCACTTCGTTCGTCCGAATATAAATTAATTATACTCTTTATTCTGTATTGAAAGAATAATCAACTCATATGTATGGAATGCTGCTCGTCAGAACGTTTATTACGAATTTAACACATTTGTATTTATTTCAACACCCATTATTTTTAATCATTAAATAATATTTATATATACATACATATATGTGTGTGTGTGCCTAATTTACTGGTTTCCATTCCTTACAACGTTCTGTACGAGCGGTAGAATAACTTTTAAAGCACGCACCTGCTATTTATATGACCATGTCACGTGACATAAAAACCACACAGATCCACCACTCTGTTCACACAGGAAATGCCCATAACGACAATAATAATAACTTTTAAAGCACGCGCCTGCTATTTATATGACCATGTCACGTGACATAAAAACCACACAGATCCACCACTCTGTTCACACAGGAAATACCCATAACGACAATAATAATAATTGTATGTATCTCCCTCCACAGCTCTTTATCAAACCTGGTCTCAGAAATCAGAGTATTTTCATTTGTACAGATGGAGAGGCGGGGGTTGTAAAGGACATTTATATTACAAGACCTAATGGAGGGACTGTGTAGCAGGAATGCTAAACCATTCTCATACAACCCATACAGTCTAATAAATAGCTGATGCTGTGCTTCACCATGGACTTTACTCAGAAACATGTTATTTTGGGGAATAAAAAAGTTTGGACAGACTCTATCATACACCCACTTAAGGATTAGCTTGTAGCAATTCCAGAAACACTCCAGGAGATTTTGTGGACACCATTGTTGTAATGTATTCTGTTGAATCACCCAGAAAACAGCTGTCTTCATGTGATAGGAACACAGTAATTTATCTTCATCACTTAATCCATTGTTAATTATTTCTGTTAAGAATAATTTAAGCAAGCCATAAGTTAAGAATTGGCAGTGGTTCATAGCATACACAAGTTTGTGTTCTGCAAAAGAGAAAGAAATTCTCCATTCATTGTGCTCATGTCGTCCTAGCTTATGTCCTACTGGTACAAAGTGACATCCATTTTTTACTATTTCATTAGCAATATGAGGCTTGGGCCATGAGTGACATCTGTCTATCCACGAGGAGGCAGAGGGAGGCCAAAAGTCACTAACAAAACAATGGGCGAATTCATATTCTGCTCCCCCTGAAATAACTCCACTGACACAGGGTCCATGTGGAATGGAGTCAGGCAAAGTTGCAGAACACCAAATCATTCTGTATTCTGAACTGGAGATATAATATTCGCTATTCACTCTAACACAAGCTCCCTGGATTACTTGATTCCTGCTTGGTGACAGTAAATATAACAAAGTGAATCCTGGTGGACTATCAGAACAGTCACATAATATCAGTGTTTGTCCGTGTGTGTTGTAATACTGAGACTGAGATAAGTCCCAGATCACACGGTGATCATTTGGCCAGAACATAATGTCTATATCTGATTCTTTCAGTCTGAATCCTTCTCTGTAACTTCCACTCCACATCTCACTGTACTCACCACTTGCTCTCCCTTGATTTTCCGCCATCTCCATGATGTCCACCATATCTCTTCTCATGGCCACCTGTTGTGAGGTCCCAATTTTATCACACAGTCCCAAGAACACTGACTCTGATATATGCTGTAGGGCTGTCTTTCTAATAAGGATTAAAGGAGAATTTTTATATGTTTTGACATATATGATATACACTGTATATTATGCCATTTTAGTAAACTATTCAATACCTTCTCTGCTTCAAAATTTTTTATTACATTCAAAGATGTTTTACATGTACGAGGATAATTTGTTCTCAGCTGAATTATAATTAAATTTACAATTAAGAACAAAACAGAAGAAGAAAAATGTACATTGCATACAAAGTTAAAAGCATTACAATATTTACTGATTCAGAAACTGAAGACATTTTAAGTAAAACACAACTGTCATTTAAACTTACATTGGTGAATTTTCAATGGCGTCCATTTTACTAGGCGATTTATATAAATAGTACAGAAAAATCCACTAAATCTACTTTCATTTAAACAATAAAATGCTTTCTTTGTTTGTTGTTACTGGAATGAACGGAAGCAGCTGTTGTAGAAAAAATACATAACCCGCGTAAGCGGGTTATGTTAATTTTTTCTGCAATAGCTGCGACCGTTCATTCCAGTAACAACAAAGAAAGAAAGACATTTTATTGTTTATATTTATATCTGTTTAAATTATCATTTTAAATAGGATTAAAAATATTAATTATTGTGTTAATGATGCGAACGTCTTTGTACGTTTCATTGATGGAACGGCCACTGATCAAGAAATCTGTACAGGTGATATGCTTAATGTAGTTTATGCAGGGATGAACGCAATGGGTTTTTCTTAAGAAATAAAGAAGAAAATATTCAGTGGATGTAAATATTTTATAATGACTGTGTCCTATGAGATCAAATGGAATTCAAAGAAAATGAATAAAAAAATTTAGTCTAAAAGGAAAAATTTCAATTAAAATCTTCAGGTTTTGATAATATAAGGCTATTAAAAATTAAATCGGTCATTGGTTCTCAAGGCAAAATAAAAAAAAGGTTCGATTCTTTTAGTATTTATATTGTGTATTTACCCATGTTTATTCCTCAAACTTTATCTTTAAAGCACAAACACCCTAATTCGTTAAATTAGCCTAAAATAGAAAAATTCTACCCCCTTTAAAATGTATCTATGAATAGAGCGGGTAGAATTTTTCGATATTTGGCTAATTTAGCGACTTATTGATAAAAATTCAAGTGCCTGTGTTTAAAGTTATTGATATTATAAAGGGAAAAATAGTAATTATCTAATAAATTTTCAGGAAATGCGAAAACTGCATTTAATTTCTAGTTGAGAATTGATCAACATATATACATTTTGATTTTAGGATGAAAAATTATAGGTATCCAAGCTTTTGAAGAAAATTGCATGATTTTTATACAAGTTTATACGGTAGTTAAGTTTCTTCTTTTAATTTCAATCATTTAATAATGCAGCGTCTAAAGCGTTTAATTGCTATTAATAGAGAGGTTGAGATTTTTAAACTTGTACGCGTACTTGTACTTGTACGTATTTTGACGTACAAATAGACGTTTTTTAAGAGCCATTCTCTGTAATGATTTGAAATTTAAATAGGAGCTGTGGCACGCATAGTCTCAGAATTTCTCCAAACTCTCTATGATAAAAGTCATTGATACCCTAAACTGAAATCAGGCAAAAATTGGTTGCTATGCTTTATAGTTACCATGGCAACATGTCTTAAAGTTCGAAAAATGGCATATTTTAACATGTTTAGAGCCCCATAGTTAACATTTGCGGCAAAGCAAACAATTGGCAATGACTGTTTCCAAAAGTTGAAGGTCAGATGTCTCAAATGCATGATAAACATGTTTGGTAAATCAACTATTACATACGTTACTATGGTAACAAAGTATTCAAAAGTAAAAAAAAATATTCATTGAATTTTATAAATTCATACACGTAAAAATAAAAAGCAATTATAGGATGAAATGTGACCAAATAATAGAAAAAAGAGCCTTGAAACATATACCAAGAACAAAATATGATATTTCAGATTGGTTGGCAATGGTTGCCAAGGTTTTTATACCAAAGAGAGCCTTCAAAGTAACACTCTGTATTTTTAAATCTGATCCTATCTTTTAAAAAAGCACATTCCCCCATAACTAATGATCAATTTTTAAAGATGTTTGTGTGCTCCTAGTTTTCCCATTTGAAAAAATTCAGATTAGATTCTTTAAATAGAGCGTTGCTATGGAAATAAGCAGAAAATATATGCTTAAAAACCTGAAAAATATTTTCTTTCCTTGGATACGTACCCTTAAATGTAGATTCCCAAAACTTTTATGATTGATATTTATTAACAGCTAACCTGACTTTTAATTTTGACTATCATCCAATCTCTAAGTTGATGCAAGAAGTTGGCACACAGGGTTTAATATCGATATAAAGTTCACAAAATCGAACATTTTCCCTTCTTGGTAACCATAGCAACGGTGTTGTATTCTTCATCAAATTTTATCAATATGTGATATTCAACTTCAGTTCTAACAGATAAGTACTATTCAAGCTGAGTCCTTTAATTTGGTTCTTAAATATATGGCAATTTACTTCTTAATGCAGCGAAAAATAATTCACTTTTCAGCACTGGTACTTTGTTTCCATGGTAACACTGCAAAGTAGCAATTATACCCAATTTTTCTCATGTATTTGGTGATGCAAGATCCTAAGGATGCATATTTGCCAGTCTTGAATTTTTATGTTTTTCCTCAAGAAAGTAGCATTAACCCAATCTGAGTTACTGGTTTTGCATGGTTACACTGTGTTACCATGGCAACCATAAAAGTTATTTATAGAATAATATTGCTTACACTTATATACTTAAGGTCAAACATTTTCATTTTTTTTCTTAAGTCGTTGATTGAGTTTGAGCATGTAACACCTACCATTAGTGAATACGGAGTGTTTTTCAGCATATTTCAGCATTTTAAATGTAATCCAAATGTACCCTTGGTTACCACTTACTTAGAGATATATTCTAAACAGTTTCTTTACAGTATAAGTGACATCAAGGTGTCATGTTTTTGTGAGAATGGTTTGTTTGCTTTTTCTAGTTTTTATTGAGCCACAGTCAAGAGTTAAAGTGGCTGAAAATCTTGATTTTTCAAACTTTTCCGGCTGTTGCCATAGCAACCGAGACACTTAGCAACGAAATTTTATTTGATATTTGTTTCTGGTGTCAAGTACTATGCATGGGTGAAGTTTCATCAAAATCGGTGACCATGCGTGGCAACGAAGTTCAAGTGGTTACAGAGAATGGCTATTAAAATTTGTCTGTTGAGATTTTTATGACGTGTAACATGTACGTGTACACCGCGATCGATGTTTCCGTTTAACTATTTAGAAGATTTTTTGTCGTCAGTTAGTAAACAAAACTTAATGAAAATAAGTGCTAGTGAGATTAAACATCCTACATAATGTATAACAATTACGTTTTCACTATTAAATTGGCTAATTTTTATTATTAAAGCTACACGTTTTTACTTATATGAGTCATGAGAAATCTGTCGAAGCTAAAAAACATCCCAGCACAAAGTAAGCTTAGAAAACTGAGTGTTACACATGACATGTCAAAAGCTGAGAGGAAATAGAACAGGGAAAAGGTGCTGGAAGCAAAAGCTTTAAACGAAAAGGAAAAATCGGGAAAAGTGAAGTTCATCGTAAAAGGTCCACCATGGGAGAGAAAGATTGAAAAAATCAGAATGAAGCAGGGAGACTAAAAGACAAAGTAAATGCTAATGTAAATAGCTGTGTAAATACGTTAAAAAGACCCGTTGAATGTATTAGAGACAATTACCTGCATCAGGTGATAAATAAAAATACCCGACACAGACACTGTTAGGAAAGCTCGCTGTTGGACCTTATACTAGTGAATAACTGTAACAACATTGGTGATATAGAAAACTTAGACCCATTAGGATCTAGTGACCACAGTGTGATAAAAGTCAAATATAGTTGCTACTTCAAGTATGAAAATACCAACTGTGAGAGATTGAACTATTATAAAGCAGACTATGAAGGAATGCGCAAAGAGTAAGACATCGATTGGGATTATATTATGGAAGATGATGATGTGAACACTATGCTGGAAAAATTTATGAGCAGATTTGATAGTGCAGTAAAAAAAATTATCCCCAATAGCAAACCTAGAAACACAAAGGGAAACATTCCACTGAGCAAAAATACAGTTAGGAGCATAAAAAGAAAACATCGACTATGGGAAAGATATATGGAAGACCGAAGCAAAGAAAAGCATAGAGAATATTGTAAAGCCCGAAATAAAGTCAAGAGATTAACCCGCAAAGAAAGGAAAGAGAAAGAGAGACAAGTAGCAGAATCGGAAAAGACTAACAATAAAAACTTCTGGAGGTATGTTAACTCCAAAAGGAAGAGCAAAAGCGGTGTTTCAGAATTGCACGAAAAAACATCCAAAGGGACATTTGTGGCAAATAAGGATCAGGACAAGGCAGAGATGTTGGCAAATTTTTTTAGTAGTGTTTTTACAGAAGAAGATGAACTCTTTAATTACTACTAGTTGATATAATTGAAAACACAAGGTTGAATAATGATGAGCCGATTACTCAAGAAGAGGTGAAAAAATTACTTCAGGATCTACACACTACTAAATCCCCAAGACCAGATAAGGTTCACCCAAAAGTTCTATATGAATTGAAAGCAGTAATTGATAGACCTTTATATTTGATCTATAAGAAATCACTAGAGACAGGAGAAGTACCAGATAGCTGGAAAATAGCCATAATCACAGCTCTATTTAAGAAAGGTGACAAGAAGTCGGCATCAAACTACAAACCTGTCAGCTTAACAAGCATACTTTGCAAGATGATGGAGAAAATTATTAGGAAGAGATTAATCAAGCATATGGACAGCTTAGATCTATTTATTGATAAGCAATTCGGGTTCCTGAGTGGGAGATCAACAACCTTACACACACACACACACACACACACACACACACACACACACACACACACACACACACACACACACACACACACACACACACACACACACACACACACACACACACACACACACACACACACACACACACATATATATATATATATATATATATATATATATATATATATATATATATATATATATATATATATATATACGTTGATAAGTTAAATTCTTGGTACAGTAAAAAATACTTAAATAAATAAAAACAGAATGCTGCAGTCCAAATTAAATAAAATTAAATAAAAAAAAAGATTTTATTTAATTTGGACTGCAGCATTCTCTTTTTATTTATTTAGATATATATATATATATATATATATATATATATATATATATATATATATATATATATATATATATATATATATATATATATATATATATATATATATATAACCTTGAATATGCGAGTAGCGTATGGTCACCGTACAAAAAGAAGGACATTGAAACCATAGAGAATGTCGAAGAAGAGCTACTAGAATGCTGCCACAACTGAAAGACCAAAATTATGAAGAACGACTAAAGACTCTTAAATTACCAACATTGAAATACCGGCTTATGAGAGGAGATATGATTGAAACATTTAAAATCATCCATGGAGTTTATGATAAAAGAGTTTCAACTACATTATTTCAATTGAGTGAAACGCATATTACTAGCTATATTGGGAACAGTTTTAAACTAGTGAAACACAGATGCAATAGAGACGTTCGAAAATTCAGCTTCACCAACAGAGTCGTGGAACTGTGGAATAGCCTGCCAGACAATGTAGTGCTAGCAAAAAACGTACACCAATTTGAAAATAAACTGGATAAATATTGGGAACACCACCCTCTTAAGTATGACTATACCCAAGAATATGGACCGCATACCGGAAAAAGACGATTTATATTTCCGCAAGAGAAAGTAGAGCTGCCTATAGAGCACCAAGAGGAGCTGCAGGCAGAATCAACATAAGGTTACATAAGGTAGATAAATGCCAGAGGTGTGTTAATTTTAAACTGTGTGGTAGGATAAACTTCTCCATAGCGAATGTAAACAAGTCCACTTACACATGCTCCAAGCATTTTGTATCTGGAAGGCCTACAGAAGAGTACCCAGACCCGTTGCAAGCCACAGGTACACCATTTGATATAGAGAGTGTTGTCCAGAGTTGACACTGACAACGGAAATGGGCCACAGGAAAAGAAAATAAAAAATGGTACATAATCTATATCATCCTTGTGTCAAGTTTATATGAGTATCACTAGTTAATAATTAAAATTAAGGTCTGTTGTATTGTGAAGTAGTGTTTATGTATTTTGGTTTAATTTATAGTTTATCTAGAAAATGACATTTTAATTCAGAGGTATTTTGAAGGGATGTGGGGCCTATGAAGAAAATGTCTTCAGAAGTTGAGAAAATTCAAAGCAGTGCCGAGTCCGACTGTGATGTACTACAAATACAATGAAGATGTGGAAGTGTTGCCTGTAATAGAAGGAAAGGATGACATCCCCAAAGGTATCATATTAAATAATGATCTATAGATTTTTTTTTTTGGGGGGGTATACTTGCTTCAAAATGACCGATTTATTTTTTCTTTTTTTTTAGGCGACCATTCATATTGTTCAATAGCCAACAGCACTGCTATTTCCACTACCAGTATCCAGTGTCAGACTGATGCTACTTTAGAAGATTTATCAGCATATGATGATATGCATCTGAAGGACAAAGGCAGCATGAGAAAAAGCCATGTCATGAATGATATCCTGGAGGATGATGCTTCCTGTAAATTTAATACAGGTATGTCAAAAACTATTTTTTATTTCATTTTAAATTCAATAAATTTTAGTCTATTCATGTAGCAGCAAGCTGTCTACACTGTTATGATGCTTGTATAAATAAGTATATTTTC